CCAATAGGAGAGTAAAGACAAGCTCAGAGTGGAAGATATTTGCTACACATAACTGATGAAGGACTTATAATTGGATATTTACAGGACTCCAAATCGTTAAGAAAAAGAAAGATAACCCAGTTTTTTAAATGGACAGGAGCCAGGCACTTCACAAAATATTGTATCCAAATGTTCAACAGCCATCAAAAGTTGTTAAGCCTCGCCCTAACCAGTTTGGCTCAGTGGATAGAGCGTCAGCCTGCAGAGTGAAGGGTCCCAAGTTCAATTCCGGTCAAGGGCATGTTCCTTGGCTGTGGGCACATCCCCAGTAGGGGGTGTGCAAGAGGCAGCTGGTTGATGTTTCTCTCTTATCGATGTTTCTAACTCTCTATCCCTCTCCCTTCCTCTGTAAAAAAAAAAAAGTTGTTCAGCCTCATTCATGATCAGGGAAATGCAAATTAAAACAAGGATGGACTAGCACTACACACCCACCAGAGCGCCTAAAACTAATACTGAATGTACCAGGTATTGATTCGCAAGGGTGTGGAGCAAAAGTTATCTGAGTAGAAGTATAAGTTGGTACAACTATTTTGGAAAATTATTTGGCATTATTTATTAAAGTTGCACTTATATATACCCTGTGACAGTATATTTAGTCACAGGGAACAGGGAAATAGCCCAGATGTCCATCAACAGCATAATGGAGAAATAAACTATGGAATATTCTTACAATGAAACACTGTACTGTAATGAATGTGAATGAACTGCTACTGTATTCAACAACACAGATAAATCTTACAGACATAGAATGGAGTGAAAGAAGACAGACACCAAAAAATATATATTATGTAATGGCATTTATTTAATGTCAAAACCAGCAAAATTGCCGAAACCGGTTTGGCTCAGTGGATAGAGCGTCGGCCTGCGGACTGAAAGGTCCCAGGTTCGATTCCGGTCGGGGGCATGTACCTGGGTTGCGGGCACATCCCCAGTAGGAGATGTGCAGGAGGCAGCTGATCGATGTCTCTCTCTCATCGATGTTTCTAACTCTCTATCTCTCTCCCTTCCTCTCTGTAAAAAATCAATAAAATATATTAAAAAAAAAACCAGCAAAATTAATGTGTGATGTTACGCCAGTCTAGTAGTCACCTGATGAGGGTAGGAGGAGACTGAGTGACTAGAGAAGACAAAATGATATTTTCTGGGATGCTGATAAATGTGGGTTAGGGTATTTTTGTTTGTTTGCTTTTTAACTTTGTGGTAGTTACACTGAGATGTTCACGTTGTGGTTTGTCATCTAGTTGTACATTTCTTATTTGTGCACTTTTATGGTTGTATGTTATGTTTCAGTGAAGCATTAGAAATATTGACTGATACATACCAATTAGAATTGCTGAAATAAAATAATACCAAGTGCTGGTGAACATGGAATCGTAAGCATTGCATGTGTGAATACAAAATGGTACTGTCACTTTGAAAAATAGTCTGGCAGTTTCCTGCAGCTAAACATACACTTACCAGTGATTCTGTTTCTTGGTATTTACCCTAAATTAATGAAAACTTAATGTTCTCAAAGAAACTTGGGTGTGAATGTTTGTAGTAGCTTTGTTTAATTATCAAACACGGGGAAAACAACTAGGGAATGGATAAACAAACTTGTACACCCATGTCTGGAATACTAGTCAGCAATAAAAAATACCCAACTATTGTTAATGCAACAACATTGGCAAGTCTCAAAATCAGTGTGCTAAGTGAAAGAAACCAGACTCAAAAAGGATACATACAGTGTGATTCCATTTATACAACGTTCTGGAAAAGGTAGGGCAGAAAACAGATGAGTAGTTGAATAGGAGTTGGGGAGGGGTCGCCTGGAAAGGGGCACTATGACTTGACCCAATTATAGATATATGTATTTGTATATAAACCTGATGCCTGGTTCTAGCCTGACTGTTAACTCAGTCTGAGGGTGAGACTCCGGTATTGCTATTTGTTTCAAACATTTCCAGGTGATTTCACTGAATAGTCAGGGTTGAGAATCAGCTACATAAATCATCTGGAAAACTCCAAGAGAACATTGCCTTTTGACTTTGGGTTTCACTCGCCAACAACTGACTAAAAACGCTGGGCAGAGGTTGAGCATCAGGTGAAGTGATTATTGTATAGGGGTGTGTGCTATCCCACCTTTTCCCACTGATGGCAAAGAGACATTAGGCAGGCTTTTGTTGTTGTTGTTGTTATTACTTTGCTGCTACTGACATTGTTCAAACTGGTGATTATGAAAACCTACATTAAGAAAGGCTTGGCGCTAGCCGGTTTGGCTCAGTGGATAGAGCGTCAGCCTGCGGACTGAAGGTCCCGGGTTCAATTCCGGCTAAGGGCACATGCCCGGGTTGCAGGCTTGGTCCCCAGTGGGGAACATGCAGAGGGAAGCCGATCAATGATTCTCTCTCATCATTGATGTTTCTATTTCTTCCTCCTTCTCCCTTCCTCTCTTAGATCAATAAAGAAATATTTTTTTTTAAAAAAAAGAAAGAAAGGCTTGAACAGAGTTATTTTATTTAAACCATTGTATTTGAGATTATATTCTGGGCAGTATTGATTGTTCTTATATAGCTATGGTATTTTCATCCTTTTCTATAGTCACCTTGTGAACAGACCTGACTCAGGGCTGTGGTCCCAATTATACCACTAGGTGTCACCAGGAAGTGATGAATGGGTAAACATAGAAGGATCTGAGGATAAAATGTGATGGGGAAATGTGAGAGCTTATTTTCCAGGCCTAAGGGGCTCTGAAGGAGGCAACTTAATGCAGAGGATCTAGTGGAAGGCTGCAATATGTCTTGAAAGTCTTCCCCAGCTTTTTAGGGAATCCCTGTTCTCTCTAGTCTGGGGCTGCTTCTGTGACCTTCATTCTTTATTTAATCTTATCTTTGCCTTTGAGGTTTTTCTTAAATGTCTATATCTTGGCATTAGGTAGCCTTCTGTGTCACACTACTTTTCCTGAAACCTTTTTCCTAAATATAATCTATTTTGATATGAAAAAATTTTAATTGCCCTAACCAGTTTGGCTCAGTGGATAGAGCATCTGCCTGCAGACTGAAAAGTCCCAGGTTCGATTCCGGTCAAGGGCATGTACCTTGGTTGCGGGCACATCCCCAGTAGGAGGTGTGAAGGAGGCAGCTGGTCGATGTTTCTCTCTCATCGATGTTTCTAACTCTCTATATCTCTCCCTTCCTCTCTGTAAAAAATAAATAAAATAGATTAAAAAAAAAG